TATAAAATTTAATCAGAGCCAATAGGTCAAAATAATAAATTTTGCACCTGCCAGAAAACAGGATTGGAGCATCTCTAATAAAAAAAGACAGTAGAGAGGCCGCTTGCTGTACGCCGCTAGTCATTTTATGTGGCAATCCTGGAAACAGGCCAGCTGGCTAAAAGGGAGTCGACCCTCAGAACACCGTTTAGCTCACTGGATGAATGAAACTTACCCCTTGAATGTCACCATATGAAATATTTAACACATGCTAACAAAAAAAAACATGTAGTCTGCTAACCCGAAATCAAAGGTCAGCAAACCTCGGCTCCAGAGCCACATGTGGCTCTTTGGACCCTCTCTAGTGGCTCTTAATTGTGGCTAAAATTTATATAAAGAGCGAAATAATGTACTATAATAGAAACCAATGTTAACAGCTTTAGTCTTTTTTTATAAGATGGAAAAGAATGAGAATAAAAGAACCAGAAATATGTTTTAAGAGACATTTTTCTTTGAATTAGCTTGGAAATTATGTGTTTTAACATTATTTTAAAAGCTAAAAATACATGAATTGTTGATTGTTTAAGATGGCAACTGATTTCCTATACAAGATAAAAAAAAAGGTTTGTTTTAAAAAAAAAAGTGATGTTATATTTTGCGGCTCTAAAAAAAAACTTTTACTTGGTCGGACTCGGGGAAAAACGGGTCTTTGGATATGAAAGGTTGTAGACCCCTGGCCTAAATCATAGTGCAGACTTTATGTAGAACTAAATTAAACATTTGTATTAGACTTATTTTTTTTTTTACCTTTGGGTTTGTAACTTGAAAATAAATATAGGAAACAAAGCATCCTGCTGCAGAGGGGTTCTATTTGGTAGCGGTGCTGGAAGTGATGGGAAACAGAGTAACTGGAAAAGCAAAATCTGTTTTAACAACATCTGAAAATGTTGGAGAAGGTGGTTTTTCAGAACCAGGTATTTAGACACAGAGCCAAACACATGGGAATGAGAGAGTGGAGTGGCTGGAATGTCTAAGAGAACAAGGAACTGAAAGTGGGAATCAGGCAGAGCAGTTAAAGCGTCGTGTCATGTTTTACCAGGGCCCATTTCTCAAAGTGTGAGCCCTTGCAGGGGCTTAACACACGGATGATTACTATACTATTACTGCTGCTGCTGTAGTTGTCTGGCAGGGAGACATGGCTGAAGCTGTAGCCCCCCCCTCCTCCTCTCCAAACCAACCCCTGCCATTCGTTCCAGACTGAAATGCCTATATTTAGAGTGCTCCTTTCCGCTGTTATGGCTGTTGAATCATTAGCCTCGTTTAACCCTTCTTTACCTCCAACAAGCTGGCTTGCTGAGGGCGAGCCCCTCAGGGGTAGATCCTAAATCCTGCCTCCAACAAACCAGAGTCCCCCTTTGAATGAATAAGGAGGAGTGTCTTGAGAATATGTGTGGATGTGCAAACGAAGCCTGAGGGTCCGAGAACTAAAACACACCATAATAACAATAGAAAGGTTCTGGCCTGGTAGGGGCGTCTGTCTCACATCTGATTTTGTTTGACATGTTTAAGAGATGTGGATGTTGATTGAGTAGTTAGATGACCTGACCTTTCATGTGCTGTACCCGTTAGTGGACAGTGTCCACATGTGGATGAGTGAAATGTGAAATTTTCTACAAGATCTCACAAAGACTGCTTACATTTAAATAATCTAAATTAGATAAGGAGTATTCTAGAATAGATATCTGATTATGAACTTTATGGTGCTTTGCCAGACTTTATACATCCCAGGTTTCCTGTCTGCCACATAATAATAGAAGCCTGAGAGAAGATACAGGTTGAAGAAGAACCTCTGCATTGTCTCCACGGGGAAAAGAGAACAGAGACAGGAGAGAAAAGATTTGTTCTTTCTTTCTAGAGAGTAAGAAACCCCTCAGTCATAAGCCCAGGGAGAGAGAAGAGCATTAAACCTAACGATATTAGGAGATGGCAAGGAACTAAATTTTATCAAAACTTGAATCCAAACTGAGAGCGGAAAAAAAACGATTAAAATCTGCATTTTGACAGATCAACAGATTTGCTCTAACTAACAATCAGTTACCAGGCGGCCCTTTAAATCAATAAAAAAATTAACCAGCTGAATAGCTGCTGAAGAGAGCCTGACTAGTGCAGCTTTCATTACTGTTGACACCATGTACAAAAAAAAAAATGAAGAGAAAACCGGGGAAGCCAACCTCTCTGGAACATTTTATGTTCTATTATAGGGTGACCAAACGTCCGTATTTCCCAGGACATGTTCGTATTTCACGTCCTGTCCCGGGCGTCCCAGGTTTTTTTTTTAGAAAGTGAAGAAATGTCCTGTTTTTTTAAATTACCTTCATCGGACCATTAAATTTACAGACGCTAGGGCACTGCGCACAACGCTGCGTGTGACGTCACCCCTGAGCCGCGCCAGTGCGGGCAGCCTTGTTCTTAATCAGAATATAGATAGCGTGGCTGTCAGTACGCCAACAACATGCAAA